TCATCCTCTCTCTCTCTCTCTCTCTCTCTCGCTCTCTCCTCTCTCTCTCTCTCTCTCTCTCTCTCTCTCCTCTCACTCCTCTCTCTCTCTCTCTCCCCTCTCTCCCTCCTCTCCTCTGGCATGGCATGGCATATGGCATTCTATGGCATATCCTCCTCATGATGCATCGTATCATGAGGCTGGGCGGCCACCTTCGCTGCGTCTCCTGGATTAAGCTGGGAAGTTTGCACGTCACCGACCTCCGGAATTCCTCCTCTCCACGCTCTCCGCCGTCGCAACCTTCCCCCTCTCACCGGTCGCTCTCCGCTCGCAGCCGCATCCGGTCGGCGACGCCAAACAAGTCCAAGACGCGCCGCTTCATCAAGTACTCGGCGTACTGCTGGGGCTGCTCGCTGGCGCTGACGTTGATCACGATCATGATGCAGTTCGCGCCCGACGACGTCGTGCCGCCCGAGAACTTCATCCGACCCGGGCTCGGCGAGAAGAGCTGCTGGTTCCCAGGTCAGGTCACGACGGGTAACCGGGAGGCGTGGGCGGCACGAGCGGTCACTGGGGGTGGCAAGGTACGGTCATTGGGAGGGCAAGGTGTGGTCACTGTAAGGTCGCGGTTGAGGGCCTCGCAGGTCAGAGCGTGGTCACTGAAGGTCAGGTGGGGTTACTGCGAGGTCAGGTAGGGTCACTGCGAGATCTCTGACGGCTAACCGTGGCGTCACTGGAAAGCAGTCGCGGAAAGGAAAGATGCGCCGTGTGTTGGAAGTCGTTTAGCTTTGTCTGCCTGCCTTGCTGAAGGGGTCGGAAGAAGTTTTGAGTTCTGCAGCGGCTCCTTTGAGACTTGGCCCCACAGAAATAACTATGCCAGGTTTGTGTGCTCAGCCCAGCATACTGCGGTGTGGTGGGTTAAGACGATCTCAGACCGGACAGCATCTAATGGTAAATGCCCACCAGTTCGAAACTCACCTCGAGTTCGTGGCTTTGACAACGTGGTAGCACGTTTGAGACTCAGGGTTGTTTTGACCTCCTTTCTGCAGGTGCTTACCGCCCGCTCGATGACCACTCCCAGCATACGAGCCTTGCTTCATTCTGAGGGTTCGTAACGGGGCTGTTGTTAGTTACCACGAGCAGTGGCGACCATTTTAATATTTCTACCGAGGACATAATAGACCGGAGCAGCACTACAACAGGCAGCACGTTGTGCATGGACTGTGTGTTATTGGACCGTTTGGCTAGGTCCGTGCCGCGCGTGTGGACGTTTTGGGCGCGCGGTCTGCTCGCGCCCGAGTTCGAGTGTCTATGTTCTATAGATAGACACACTGCACATAGACACCCACTTGCGCTGTTGTCTATACGCCGAAGGACGAAAGTTTTCTGGACTCCAAAATTCCCGCTAACGCCAGTTTCGGGGTCCCCTGCCCAGTGCCCGCTTGGCGTATTGTATCCGGATCGTTTCTCACAGTATATTTAAGCCGCTTAATTTACCATTTGGTTAAAACAAAACTTGTATTTCACGCTTTGCTCTTTCCTTCTTCTGTATGCGTTTTTAAACAAGGACCGAGATCAATGTAAGGAGATTCTTCGTCAGGCTGGGGTGTTGTGAAGCGGATTGCGAGTGTGTCCTGGTCCCCTCTAACCACATGCTAGCATCGCGCTCCTGGCCTCACCCTGATTCACCTCCGTTGTAGGCCACGTCCCAAGCCACAAACCAGCTGTGTTGTATCGGTCACGCGTAAGCGCACGAGCGACAGTAACAGGGTCGTGCTGCGAAACATTTGTTTGTGCGATGCCACCCAGCCGCAGGAGAATCTTTGTAATGGTGATAAATCAGACAATCTAAACATGCGAGTTGGCATGACATTTACAGGACTGCTGGAAACCTGCGCAGATCGTTCAAATGATCTCGTGGCACTATCTCATGCTTTAACTCTCTTCCTATGCTGATTTGCCTTTGCCTGCACGCATTGTGCAAGTGACTGTTGTCTGTTCAGGCTTTGCGATCTGAAAGACGCGGTCATGTTGTTGATGGCTCGGAAGTCACCCTTCTTGCTTCAAAGCTTCGTGGAAAGTCGGACGGTTTAAACGTTTTGTCGTACTTTGTCGACCGTAAAAGTGCCGTGCCCCTCTCAACTGGCTCTCTAACAGGATGTGCATGTAACACCCACATGGATTTACGAGCGCCACACTTTAGCCAGTTTCCGGTAATTCCCTGCCTCACGTACTAGCGTGAAGAGCGTCAGGCCCCAGCAGCAGCGCGCGCCTCTCGAGACGACCCGTCTAAGGCCCGCGCCGCCGCGGCTTCGCTGCAACCGAGGCGTTCACCTCCGGCGCTACACCGACAGAGCCACGTCGGGCCGGGCTGTGCGCGGCCGGCCGACGGCGCAGTACGGCGGCCCGTTTTCTCTGAAGCGTTGCCAGCGTGCGGACGTCGTCCGAGCCGCCTCGGTCGCGCAGATCTGATGAGCTGTCGGGCGCGATGGGTGCCCAGCTGGCCGTGAAAGCCTGAGCGGCGCCGCGGCGATACCCGAGGACGGACTGCTTGTAGTGTAATTGGGCGTGGCTGCTGCGAATCCAGCACGACGCGGGCTGTCCATATTTGGGTGGGCTTTCGGCGCCGCGATTGATTGGTTGTGAACCGACGCGGAATTTTGGTGTGCCGTAACTAATGGCTTCCTGAAGATGTTCGCTTGGTTAGTGCCGCAGTTTAAAGCGCGGACAAAAAGGAACGTTGCGTTCGATGCTCCCAACACAGGTGTAACCTCTTGAGCGCTATCGTTGATTTTTCCGTTTTCTCCGTCCGCCCGCATAACCCGGTGACAATTCTCCCAAGTTGAATGAAGGGTCGATAACCATTATTTGATTATTTTTTTCAGTTACGCCTAAAGGGTCAGTGCCAAAGTTTCAGAAAGCCTGAGGGGAAGGGGGCAGCCCTCTTGGCTACCCAAGTTCCCAGTTCTTACGTCGCTGTGTCGATATGCCCTCTATCGCTCTGCGTTTCGTTAGATTGGTTTAATTCCCCCCCCCCCCCACGTCCCATTTCTTGTCTGCACCGCTGTCCTGTAACGTTCTTATATTAACCGTGCATTTATTTCCTTTGTCGTTATCTTCAAAATGTAGCTGGCTGATGTTTGACGGGCTGAGGCTGTTGCTGTTAGCAGAAATTCCCTAAAGCCAAAATTTTACACATAGCTTATCATGCATAATGGCCTTGCTGTTTTTCAAACTTAAAACAAATTGCAATGATCCATGTCAAGTTATTTTTTCGTTTGGAAATATCGAGATAAAATACATCTGAAGATTGTATCATTTTGATTTAGTACCAAAGACGTTTTTTCGACCATGGAGAAACGCCAAAGTAGAAACGCCCAAACCGTATCCTAAAATGCTCGTTTTCGGCACTGATCGGGCTGGCCCGAACACCTGGACTGGGACTGGAGTCGTCAAATTCCCATCTGGTTACGTTGACATATGATAACCGAACTCCATCACTCAACCTTGCACGTCACAGTTTTTGGGCTAGAGCAAACAGCTTACGTTTTGGCCAGCGCATTTTGAATGACAAGGAACGTTCCAAAGCGTTGGGCCTTGAGGTGCAGTTCAAGTTCATTCTGCCTTGATATTCCACTTTCAGAAAAGTTGGTAATATGTATTTGCCTATTACGTTCTCTTTTCGCGACACTACAATTGTGTCGCATGCAGTTATGGCACAGTGTGCTATGCGTTGAGGCAAAGCAGCCCAAACTTAAAGCAAGCTGCATCTAAAAAAAGCACTGATCATTGATCATAACATTTTTGCCTACGTCGTATGAGCTTAGGTAATGAGAATGCTTATTAGCCCTAGAAGGGTCAACCTACAGAAATCCCCTTTATCACATTTTCCTGCGCGTTAAACCAAGACCCTTTTTGAAGGGTCCAGTGGCTTTGACAAATTTGACTAAAGCTGATTTCAGTTTGCGAGGTAACAGAAAAAAAAAAACGTTCGGGACCAGCTCACAAAGCATATAGAGGCAACTGAATGACAATCAGGTATCGTCTTCGTCGTCAAAATTCATGCGGGATGTCACTCAAAGCTATAGACTGTCCACCTGCTGCTGATGATATGATTTAAGTACTACTGCGGCTGCTACGCTCTCCTAATGCTACATACAGACCAGCTTTTGTCACGTTTTCAAACTCCTTCGCCCTATCGTTTTTCTATTGTTTTCTCTCGAAAAGAAGTCGGTCGCCAGAATGAGTCGCGTTTGTAGTCAATGCAATCACCGCGCTCCCCACTTATGAGACGTTTGTTCGTGATGACCCTCATCGAAGCCATCGGAGTACAGAAAGCCTACTTTCGCCTCAGAACCACGTTTTATCGCATTGCTAACCACCCCGTAAATTCCTACATCCAATAAGAGAGGCCGATATAATAAGGACATCTCTCTGAGCCAATTTCTGCACACGTGACCGCATCCAGAGTGAGCCAACAACCAGCGTGTTAGAATTCTCGTCCTCGAAGACTCACGAAGACTCCCTGTCCCGTGGAGGAATTCTTCTTTCCTCTTGCGATTTTTTCCGAGGCCGCACCGTCTCCGGCCTGATCCTACTCACTTGCCGTCTGGCGGCACCATTAGTTCCGCGCCCTCCCCAGAGGCGGGGTGGGGTCAACCGTAACTCCATGCCTCAGGCGAAACCCTATCGGTCGCCGGCGACACTGGGTCACTGGAGCGAGACGCATTCCCCCCCCCCCCCCCCGCCTGGCACGGGCGGAGATAGGGCGACTGTGGGGGAGGCGACCCGGGGACGGCTCCAACAGGCCTTCCCAGAAGCATATTCGGGAGTTTGGCAAATTGCCTGCCGTCTCTATAATTAGGAAAGAAATCCGTCCGCTTCTGGTTTCCATCCGGCATTCCGCTTTGTTCTTTCCTCATATGACCACCGGTGAACCCTTCTTTGAAATCAAGCGCGCCTGCTCAAGGCTTGCGCACGCGATGCCCGCAGACAATGCTTAATGTGGGGGGGGGGGGGACCTCGTCCCTCCCCTCGGGACACTGGCTCCGCCTCTGCCGCCGACTATCTATAGCGGCGGCATATTCCCCCGACAGCTCTCCGCGTCCGGCGCGGCCTTGACGCAGCGTCACGTGACCCCGCGCCCCGGAGCGTAAGTCGGCCGCCGCCGGCCCCCGGGCGGCCGCGGCAGAACGCCCGGAGGGGATATTAGGACCGCGGTCGGCCACGCGGCCGGTTATTGGTCTATCGCGAATGGCCAGGCGTGCCCAGCCACGCGTGATTCGGCGATGATCCGATGCGATCGCTGCCGGGCGGCGATGTGCTACTGCGCCGGGGACGGGAGTTTGTCTTCGGCGTGACGAGGCGGTCCGTTCCGCTGCTGTAGATGGTGTGGGAGTCGGTGAGGCAAGACAATGGCGGCTGCGAAGTCGTTCAGTCAAAGGGAGCGTTCGACATTGAAGACATTGAAGCGGACATCCGATGTAATGAAAAAGCTCACTTGTCTGGCAGTCTTGTAAGCT